AACCAATTAAACCGGTAATAGATAGCGTTGCCCAATTCAAAAGTCCCCTTGTGGAAATTCTAGAATTGAACAATCATATTAATTGGAAGAACGATTAAAAGTTAAAAAGTATATTTCAACTTAAATTATACATTTTTAAGAAATGTGTAATTAATTTTAACAACCAAACATGGTGTCTAAATGACATGGCCATTGTTGACAAAAACTAATATAGGGTATCACTGTTTAATCAAGTGGGTTAAGATTAGAATCCTACTACTATCATTATCCGGATACCCTTGATGTTCTGTCTTCCACCAAACATAAAATTTCTCCAACCAAATTCAGTGGTTCATATGGGTTTCCAACACATTGGAAGTTGGTGATAGATTTAATTTTTCCCAAAAACCCGTTCTTTACGAGGAAACAGTAGTGTAAATGTTGAATAAAATCCATATTCGAGGAGAAAGAAAAAAACGAAATAAAGAGGCAGTTAATAAATTTGGGATTCCAACACTGAAAAACAACCCTTCAAATTGTTATTAATGCGTGTTATTGAACAGGTAAAATGACAAGTAGCAATGAACACAAATCTTGCAGACCGCAATACAGATGCAAATAGCAATGGAGAACAGCAAATGATAGCAAGACAAACTACCCTATAGAAAACAGATGAATGGGTTATTTTTCATAAAATTCCCTCTTATAATGTCTGACTCGTAAACAACAATGTCGGGTGTTGTAATTAAGCTCCTCACTGCTTCCCGAGGATAGTCGTCTCTGCAATCATTGAGGTGACAACGTACGGGTCCATATTAGAAGCAGGCCTCCTGTCCTCGAAGTATCCCTTGCCTTCTTTCTCGGTGTCCCGACCAACACGAATGGATGCACCACGGTTTGCAATGGTGTCGAAGTTTTTGGGGTAGTTAGTGGTGGTGTGCAGATGGTCGCGGTGTTTGTAGTTGTGGTTGTGCTAGCAGTGGTTGTGCTAGTGAAGTGGTGGCGATGACTAATTATTTTGAATTTGATTTTTTAATAATGTTTGGGTAGTGTTCCTTGTGATATTGACTGCGGTGGTGGTGGTGGTGGTCGATGGTGATAGTGACAGTTTGCTGTCGGGAGGTGGTGATGGTTCCTGCGACGGGGTTTCGATTGCCATGATGTTGGTGACAGTGGTGAGATGGTGGTCACAAGTACGGTTGCTTGTCACATATTATTTTGTTGTTTGTAAACATTAAATTCATCAATTTGTGACCGATAAATAATATTCAACTAATGAAAAAGATATACTGTGACCAAAAAATAATCCGTGAGCTAAAAAAATGTTAATTTGTGATCGATAATTTAATAATTTGTGGCTTATAAAATTTTTGATTTGTGACCGATGAACAAATTGTGACATATAAAATTTTTTAATTGTAATCGTAAAATAATTTGTAACGTTTCAATTTTTTATTTTTGACCGATAAACAAATTGTAACCTATAAAATTTTTGAATCGTGATCGTAAAATTTGTGATTAAATTAATAATATGTGACCAATTATATGGAATTTGTGACCTTAATATATTTAATTAAAAAAATATATATTTAATTTATTTATTTATAAATAAAATTTTTAAAAATCTGATATTTGAGATTTTAAATCTTAAAAAATCTGAAATTTTAAATTTTAAACCTTATTTTTTAAACTTGAAATGGTTGAAACTTAACCTTTTTGTTATGAAATTTTCCCATGACGTAGCCCCAGTTTGAGGTGCATTATTCAAACAATAAAATGAGAAATCTGTTTGAACCGTAATGTTTGACTTTTTATTTCACACCAATTCAATTTTTTTGAAACTAACGATCACATATTTTATTTTTCTTTGCTATTAATGCGTCAAAAAATAGGCGTGTAACGCGTTATGATACAAGGAGGCCCAGTTATCAGTTTGACGAGACATATAAAAGGTAAAAATGCGCTTTCTTATTTTACTATTATTTTAATTTTTAATCAATCAAAAAATCATTTAATAATTAAAAATAGTACATATCAAACATCTAAAACGAATTTATAAAAACTTTACGACTTTTTTCAAAAATTTCTAATAAAAATATAAGTTTCAAATGTAAATCAACTTTTAAATTTTAACTTTAAAAAATTTAAAGTTAGTCAAACTTAAAACAAATACATGTGGATGTTACTTTTCATGTAAAAAAAAAGACATTATTTTTAAACGTAGCTTTCACTTTACCGTCAAAAATTAAAGTTACTTATTTTTAATATTTACTAATAAAAGGAATTATGGGAAAATTGCAGTATCAAACATTTTAGTAGACTTTGCCTAAACCTTCATTTGTTGCACGTTTAGAGTGTGTTTGGTAGAGATTAAAATCGGATTAAAATTGAAAAACTATTCGTTATTGTTGATATGGATTCGCCCATTTTTTTCTTAAACTACCAAACCACAAACAATAAATCTAAGTTTATTTCACCTCTAGATGGCGAAAATACATCATTCTAATCCATCAAATCTACTGCTTCGAAAAATTAGTTGCGAAAAGTGTTTTTGAAAATTTTCGAAAAATCTGCTGCGAAAAATCTCAACTTTGGGGCTTGAAAGTGTGCGAAAATGGCTACCGCGAACTGTTCTTTGTAAAATCATTATGGATTATTGTGAGGGCTTTATTTTGTGAGGATTTTGTTGTTCCAGATCGGAAGAATTGAGGTTAAATAGTGAACACTAAAAGTGCACAGAAATAGTGAGGGATTTAGGAAAATCATAAATCTTGGACGGTCGGTGTTGAGTGGCGAAGCCGATTATTGATTTTCAACGGCAGGCGCAGGGTGGGGAAGGGTAAGAAGACGACCTTTTATTTCTTTTTCTTTTGTTTTTTTTTTTATAATTTTAATTCAAAGTTACAATTTTATACATTTTAAAATTGGTCAAAAACAATTTATTGGATCAAACTAACAGAAATTATCCATTTGGACTCCAGGTACAAGTTTTTGAAAGGTTGTGTACTGTAGGTGCAACAAAATGAAAGTTTAGACAAAGTTTGTTTAAAATTGAAAGGATTGATACCGTGACTGCAATTTTCCAATAATTAATTATTCGAAAGCATGTATACTTATGAGTAAACTTGTCAAGGCTACCCAACCACGCTTAGAGCATCTCCAACAGACTCTTTAAACATGAGATGCTCTCTATTTTAAAGAGTCAACATGTAAAATCATGCTCCAATAGACTCTTTAAATTAAGATTTTAATTTAGAGAGTGGGTTTGACTCTCCAAATTTGGAGAGCCAAACCCACTCTCTATAATTAAATGCATTCAAAAAGTTTCAATTTTCAATATAGAAAAGCAATAAAATAATCTATAGAAAAACTAGTTAAAATAAAAGATACAGAAAAATAATAAATATTTTTTGGGAATAGTAAATTTAAGTGTTAAATATAAAGAGTTTGTTGGAGTACATCAAAATTTTAACTCTTTAAATATATAGATGCTCTCCAAATGATAGAATATGCTCTTTAAAAATAGAGAGTCTCTGGGAGAACAAGTGATTTCATTGATCTATGAATAACAAAAAAAATAAGAAAGTTTACTTATAAGTGAGGTTTACTTAGCCTTAACCTTAAAAGTAAGCTTGTACAACTATGTCATAAAATAAGCCAGCTGTAAGTTTCAAGAACATTAACTCTTTACAATTTACTTTTTGTTTCTTACTCATACATCATATTCTTATATCAAAAAATCAATTAATGAGAGGTATCCGTATTTCAGAGTGAGATTATCTTGATTCACTTGCTTCAATATTGATTGAATGATAGTGGTGGTTATCGAGCTTCGTCCTCGGTAAGGTCATTTCTTGCTTGAATTAGTGTAATTATACTTGCTGACTTGACTACAAGAACTTTCTAGGGAAAAAAATGTCCTCGGTATTTTTTTTTCCGAGTTCCTTGATTTCATTACATGATGATCCTTTCATTCTCGTCAAAGCTTAAAAATTCAACAAAATAGTCGTATTTGGTTCGACAAACTCAACAAAATGGTCTAAAGGACCTTCTGGCAACGCTTTTGAAAAGCTAAAAAATTGCTTTTGAAATTAAGTTACTTTTGTACATACTTGAATAATTTTTTAGAAGTACATGAAAAACTTAGATTCACAAGGAAACTCTTTTATAAGAAAACAAAAGTTGAAGTACCGCCAAACGAATTCTCAAAAACCCGATCTTTACCACGAAACAGTAGTGGAAATGTTGAATAAAATCCATATTTCGAGAAGAAGAAAAAAACGAAATAAAGAGGCAGTTAATAAATTTGGGATTCCAACACTGAAAAACAACCCTTCAAATTGTTATTAATGCGTGTTATTGAACAGGTAAAATGACAAGTAGCAATAAACACAAATCTTGCCGACCGCAATACAGAGGCAAATAGCAATGGAGAACAGCAAATAATAGCAAGACAAACTACCCTATAGAAAACAGATGAAAGGGTTATTTTTCATAAAATTCCCTCTTATAATGTCTGACTCGTAAACAACAACGTCGTCCACCGGGTGTTGTAATTAAGCTCCTCACTGCTTCCCGAGGATAGTCGTCTCTGCAATCATTGAGGTGACCACGTACGGGTCCATATTAGAAGCAGGCCTCCTGTCCTCGAAGTATCCCTTGCCTTCTTTCTCGGTGTCCCGACCAACTCGAATGGATGCACCACGGTTTGCAACACCCTGTTCAAAAACCGTGTCAAAATATATCGTGGTCATTTTGTGTTTCTCAAGGATCCCAACTTAGACTCTTAAGTGTTACTTTTAAAATAAGTAACTTTTATTACTTAAAAGGAAGAAAGTAAATAAGTTAACCAAACATATTGGGAAACAAAAGTAAATTTCTCTGTCTAAGCATAGCCAAACATGCTTTTAATCTTTTCTACTTGTAAATATTCTCATATTTCTTCACATCTTATTAATTGAATTAACTAGACTTGACATGTTTGGCTAAGCTTAGAAAAAGTAAAAGCTGCTTTTAAGTAACTAGTTCTTCCCATAGCACATAAGAACAGACAAAATAGTTATTTACCCATTTGAAGGTGTTGATATCGGCAGTTTCATGTTTTCCAGTGAGACGGCGCTCATTGCCTTCACCATACGCAGCAATATGTTCTTTGTGCCTATGCCCAAGCTTTTCAATAGCTTTCTTGATGATTTCAAAGCCCCCTTCTTTCCTCATAGACTTGGTGCTAAACGAATAAAATTGCCAAGAGCTCAGACGAGGGTTCCAATAAAAAATGCAATACCTTCAAATTAACAAAATATTACCTGTAGTTTGTGTGGGCACCGGCTCCATTCCAGTCACCCTGGTAATGAACAAAAACATTACAAATAAGTCAAAACAATACAGGTTCCTCCAAAACATGACCACTAATATCTTTTATTCGTAACAAAAGTAAACTTTAAGCTCGTGTAGTAGAAGAAATACTACAAAATTCGAATTGAAAATTTTACCTCAATTGGCTTGGGATCAAATGATACCACCACCCCTGCAATCTCAGTGATCCTCTGTTAACCAGCAGATAAACAATTTAGATAACCTCGCTCATGAATAATTACAAAGAAAAATAAGGGTGCGTTTGATTATAAGCATGGAACTTGCATGGAAATCGTCAATTAAATGTATTTTGTTGGCTTAATTTTCAACCAAGAAAATATTGTAGGTTTTCATCTTTTGTTAATGGGCAGATGAGAGAGAGTAAATTATTACCTGAAAAATAAAAACCTACCATCCACCAGAAAAATGTTTTCGTTGATTTTGAGAAAAACGTTGTCACGTAACCAACTTTTGAAAAATAACATTTTCCATGTAAAATAAGGCCAATCAAACACACCCTAAGTGATGTTTACAACAAGGTATGTCAAAATACCTCGAGGATGTATCGAGCTACCCACAACTCATCACCAGCTGAGATGCCAACAGAAGGTCCAACTTGGAACTCCCACTGTATAGGAGGTGAATCGAAATATAAATTTCAAATTAAGATTCACAGAAAGAACCAAAATAAGTAGCTACTCAATAAAAACTCGACAGGACAATTTTACCTGGCCGGGCATCACTTCTCCATTGATGCCGCTTATGTTGATTCCTGCATAAAGGCATGCCTTGTAATGTGCATCCACAATGTCACGTCCAAAAGCTTTGTCAGCTCCAATTCCACAGTAGTACGGGCCCTACGCATAAAAGAAGAGTCCACCATTATATAGGATATGCACAAGACATTGGTGGCTTATTCGGATAGCACTCCAAGCCATTAAGAAAGAAAATAAAAGTTAAGGCTCTGTTCTCTTTGCTATTTTCATGTCATTTTCAATTTTCAACTTTCGAAAACACAAATAACATGTTTATTTACCTATTTTCAAACATAAATTTCCAAAAACGAGTTTAAAATTTACAAAGAAAACGAAAATAGCCAAAAAAGTCGTTTGGTTGTTTTCAGTTAAAACCAAACCAAAACTTCCAGACGCAAAAAACGGTCAGATTTTGCCAATAGCGGATAGCTTAGTCGGAAGAGTCACGGATTTTCTGAAACTCACGAGTTTGATTCCGTTTCATCGCAATTCAATACAAAGGAATTTTTTCTTTTTATATGCACAGTACAAAAATTTTCAAATAAATTGGTGGGTAGCTGAGATTCGAACCCTAGTCACCAGCATGGAATTTCAATATCTTAACCACAATGATAGCCGCTTTTGATTTTTTCTATAAGTAAAAGAATTATACATATATTGAATAATCAGTTTTTCAGTTTCTCAAAATTAGAAAGTAAACGCGTTTTTTATTTTTTTTATTTTTGAAAACAATTTTTCAAAATGACAAAAAGAACGTGTTCTCAGCAATATCAAAATGGACACTCAAAACGCAAAATTCAAAATGAATTCAAAACTCAAAACTAAAAACTGAAACACAAAGATAACGACCCTTGAAGTTTTTGTTACTGTAAGTTTAGTCATTATCCAGTACAGCAGCATACCTGAGGTCCAGGATAACCTCCCTTGGGCCATCCAATGGGCCACTTAACATCCTTTTGCAAAAGGGTGTACTCTTGCTCAATACCGTACCTTTAATGCAAATAATAAAATTTCAATACACCAGAGAAAAATCCAATCACGATCGAATGCTCAATAGTTAATACCATGGTTCTTCCACCGCAACATCAGGATGGCTAAAAACCTTGGCTGCATTGTGCCGCTTGTTCGTCGGAATAGGCTCACCAGCCGGAGTGTAAGCATCGCACATGACCTAATAGAGAAAAGTAGGCATGATTCGAAGAAAGTCAAATAAAAAAACCGACATAAATAAACATGTAAGCGATGGCCGATGGTAGTAAGATGCAACTTACCAATATATTATTTCCCCTCCGGAATGGATCTTTGAAAATTGCTTGAGGACTGTTACGACCAGTAATAGAATGAGTATAAAGTAATAACCGTAAATAAAGCTTGAACGAAAAAATAAAAAAACTTACTATAGGATCACTTCACTATCTTCTCCGGGAGCCTGGCCAGTGCTTGATCCATCATAATTCCATTTCGGAAGCTTCGAGGGATCGTCCACGGGTCCGGCGAGAGTCTGTTATAAACCAAAAGGCGTTTTGTCAGCAATCTTGGAACACATTTGTAAATATTAACCTTTTCATTAAATCCACAGAAATTAAATATTTTTGCAAGAAAATGATTTACCCTTGCTTTGCTTCTTAGATCCATACCAGATCCACCTACCCTGTTAAATTTATTCACACAAATATAAGGAATCAGTCCCATATCAAAACCCCACTAATAGACCAACACAGAATCAATTCACAGAAAAATTCTAACAATTATAATCTGAAACCTTAACTAAATTTAATCCCTTAAGCATCTAATTATCGAGACCATTAAGGAAATATTATATTATAACAACAACAAAAGAGGAAAACTAGGATCTTTGATACAACAGATCTGTCTGCCTCAACCACTTGGTAGATCATAAATAATTATAATTAAACAAAAAACAAAAGTACAAAGTTTCAACAAGTGAATCCAATGAAATAAAAGTAAGATCTTTCTGCACGTTTGGTTTATCAGATGAGAGAAAAGTGGAAAAAAATCCCACAAACGTCCAAAATCCTGTTAAAATCTCTCAAATAAAGATTCATAATTCCGTAAATTAATAAAACTGCACTAGATCAATACATCGAGAAACAGGGGATTGAAAAACAGAGCCATTCCACGGTGATTCAAATGATAGAAAATGAAAAATAAAATCTAGAAACTTTCAAACTAAAAAGGTCCCAGAAAAGTCTTGAAGAAAAAAAAATGAAAAACAGAGTACATATACAGTAAAAACATAGCAACACAATCCATTAATGCAATGAAGACCAACTCACCATATGTACTCAGCAATCACCTTCTTCGTGCTGTCGGAGAGATTAAGGTTTACGAGATCAGTAAGCAGTGCCATTTTCTCAAGTCTCCCTCTCGCTATATATCTCTGTTTCTCTATATGTAACGAATGATTGTATTGCGTTTAGATAGAGGAGAGATTGCGAGGGTTCTTATAGCGGTTGTTTCAAGCGTTGATGACTTAAAAATTTTGCAAAATTATTACGTATGATTTTTATTAAAATAATTAAAAATTCATCCCCAGAGTTTTTTATAGTTTAAAAAAATAAAGAAAATACAGAAATTGAATGCAAGTGGGTTGTCTGGTCATTCTAATGAGAATCTTATAAGGATTCTCGTGTACCGGGTAAACTCTGCGCCCATCATCCGTACGTAGCATTAATTTTAATTACATATTTTATAAAATTTACAATTTTTTAATTATATATTTTTTTTAATTTTATCAAAATTTATTATAAAAATCTGATTTTAATCCCATCAAACGAATGTTGATAAGCTTAAAATAAGAAAAGGTAGTAAAAAGAAGTTTGATGAGTTAAAGTTACTTTTCTTTTCCTACTTTTAATTATGTGTTCATTTATTTTAAAAGTAAACGTTACTTTGTTACTGTTATAACACGTAACTTTTTTCGACGTTAATCAATGAAAAATGAATTAATCCACTTGTATAATTGATGCACTTTCATTGATGATTTTTTTGGCAATGTTGTCGATGACGTTGTCAACAATTGTTGACAGTTCTACGGTCATTGATCACATATAGAGATTGTTGATTTTATCGATTTACATGTAAAATTATTTATAAGAGAATGTGTGATTAAAAATTGAGACCAAACATATGTTTAGAATTTTTAACTACTTGGAATTATTTTTAATTATTATTTTGTCACTAAAAGAACTTTTTTAAGGTTATATTTTACTATTCTAATTGAAGGCGGAAATTTATAAATTACATTAAATTTAACGAATTATACTTTTTAAAATATTTATCGACGAAAAACGACCTTTCTAGTCTTAAATTTATTTTATCAAGATTATTTTTTTGGATTTTGAGAATTATTCAAATATTAAATTGCTTACAATATTTATTGAACGAGCTTTGAGCATGCTGGAAAGTTTTTAACATTTGTCAACTCAATTGCCTTAAAGAATACATTTTTTCTTCATTACTATTGAAATTCGTACTTTTATTTTTATATCCAATTTAACACGATTATTGTTTTTATATTATTAAATAAAAAATAATATATATAGGAAAAAAGGTACAAAATTTACATAATTGATATATGTGAAATGTTAAAACTTAGATATGATAATTAAGTTAGATAATTAAACATATTTATTTCTAATTAACGTTGTATTTATTAAAATGTTAAAAATAGAAGTATGAAACTGTTGAAGATATTCATGGAGAAAATACAAAGAAACCCTCAAGGCCATGATTTTACGGTACAAGACAAGCGATGTTTATCAAAAGTCAACATTAAAACCTATTCCACTCACGCCACTAGGCTAATGTGATAAACTCTTTTGACAATTTTCCTTGCACGCTTGATAATTTTTCAAACACATAAAAAAATACCATACAAATGCTGTCAACGTAGGACCTGTATCATTTCTACTAATAATTCCATGTATTTATAGAATTATTCAACTTTTAATTTGTGTTTGGTATCAATTAAAATTCATATTCTAATTACGGTTAATAATCAATTCTAATCACATATTTCATAGCAACTTTTCAATCACACATTTTTTCAAATTTTATCAAAATTTACTAAAAATCTGATTTTTAATGCTTACCTAACAGGGGTTTAGCCTTTTTCGTCGTCAAATTTAATTTTAAATTATATATTTAAAATAAATTAAATTAAATTTGAATTTAAAATTTTTCTCTACTTTTTAACCAAATATTTTTTTAAAAATTATATTTTATTCAAAATAATAATTTTCTATACGCACATTAGCAATTCAGGGTTCAGAATATAATTTTTTTTAGTACATTTCGATAAAATTTAATAAATTTGTTATTGAAATGTTGATAAAGATTATAAATCTCATATAATATGTGGTTAAAATTAATTTTAACTTACATTTTTATCAATTTTTTAACTAATCAATTTGAAAATAAATATTTCCTTTCAATTCAAACAAGAATGGTAAATAACTTCTTCATTTCTTTTTTATTTTATGCCGTAAAAAACTCTAAAGCCCTGTTTGAGCCAAATTATTATAGAATGAGAATAAAAAATATAGTCGTTATTGGAGCCCACACAAAAGATAGAAAATTTGAATTTAAATGTTGATTTGATGGATAACGGTCATATTTTTCATTTTAATGAGATAATAATGTAGATCAAACGGGGGCTTAAGATACCCACAAGGTCAATTAAGACCTCACTCCGTTGAAAGATTAGTTATCTTCTATGCAAATTCAAATCTACTTCATGTATACTATTATGGAGAGGTTCGAAAATAAGAAGGCAAATAGAAGGAAAAGTGAAAGGGTTCGGAAAATTTTCACAAGATCAGTGTTTTGCTCGATTCTCGGTAGATAAATTTTCTTCTAAAAAAAACATTAATTTGAACCTCGTGAGTACTTCGCACCTAGAACATTGTATGTAGTACAAGGAAAATTCAAAAACTATGCATAAATATTAAAAATCGAAGGAATCAATTCCAGATCTCATAGCTTTGGATGTTGCGGTTTTTGAGCATTATGCGGAAATACGTTTTGTTTGGAAAAGCATAGTTATTACCGACGCGTGTCTGTCTATTTCGAAAATTCCGAAAAAAACTAATACGTGGGGCCCTGCCACCTTGGTACTCCCAATTCGATCAATGTGTTGTGTGTAGATAAGGTATAGACTTTGAATCTTCCATCCTCGACATTATCGAGCGCGCTACAGGCCCACGGGGGTTTGTTCCCACGTGGTAACAATCATTTTCATTCTCCAATTCTTATTGGATGGTATTTTGTAGGGATTAAAATTAGAATTAAGCTGTTTGTACAGCCCAAACTTCACAGCTCGGGTCACAGCACGCACACAAACACGCGGGCCCCGCCTCTGAAATTTGATTATTTTAATCGCGGGCCCCACTCTGAATGTGTGAGGGCTGTCACCCGTTCTGTCACCCTGACTGTAGTTGTAGCAAGGTTCTTAAAATTAAATTTCTAATAGATTTTGATATGAGTTTTTGAAATGTGTTTAAAAAGTTGTGGGACCCATAAAAGATGTGATTAATATTGATTGTTTGACTTTAACTTGAATTAAAATCAGATTTTAATCTGGACCTATACGGATGAGAGGTCAGAATTTTATGTCATTCGGTTAAAGTTGATTATTTTTCTTCAACTCATTAAAGTCCACGAAAAGCCAAGTCCCCGTTTTGTCCAGTTAAAAAAAAATGATTAAAATTAACAATTAATATTAATTACACATGAAATTGAAAATTCACGACTTTTCAATAATACTAGGTGCAATGCACGTTTGTCTAGTTTATATTTAACAGTTTTGTTTAATAATTAATTTGTTATTAATAAAGATGAAATTTTTTTGGTTAATTAAATAATTAATGATGTAATGTTTATGTAATTGTTAAATAATTAGATGTGTGATTTTGATATTGTGATGTAAGTTGGTGAGATTGAAAAAAATAAGCAAAAGTTGACAAATTTGGAGAAATTGCTAAATTGTAAGGGATCCAAAGTTCGGGGACTAAAATGTAAATACTTAAAAGTTGTGACGAACCTCACGATGAAGATTTGAGAGTGCTCGGAGTCAATTGGATAAATGACGACGTCAATGAAAACAAATTTAGTCAAAAGATGATCACAAATCAATTTCCAACCGAAAAGTTATGCTCCGATATTTTAGTCTCATATTGAGACCTATTTTTGGTATAGAAAGTGATCGAATTGNTCAATCGGATATCGGAATACAAAGTTATGATAAAAACACTGAAAGAAGGTGCAGCTGCCTCTTTAAAATAAGAAATTCCGTTACATATTCCGTTAAAACAACAAATTCCGTTAGTTTTTCCGTTAAAAACAAGAAATTCCGTTACATAGCCACTTTTAATATATAGAAAATATAGAAGATATTTTATTAACATTTTATCAAGATTCGTCAAAAATCTAATTTTTATTTAAATCAAACAAAACTTTTAAATTGGGCTCACGTGAGGTAGGGATAATCAGAATTCGTTGTTCGTTAAAAAATCCAATCACGAAAGATCGATTTCTTGGATGAGGGCAGACTTTTTTTTTTTCCTTTTCAATTCTCCGTATTGACAAGTTCATGAATATTAATCTTATTATTTAACAATTTACTTTCTTTTATGTGGGCAACAAAATAGAAAAAATAAAATAAAATAACATGATTTGTGTTAGGATCTTTATTTGAGGATAAAAATGATTTGATTTAAATGTCTATGGATTGCAAAAAATGATTTTAAAGTTTACTTTAGACTTGGCTGTTAAGATTTCCTAATATTGAAGAGTAAGAGATGGATGGACAATATCGTAATTAGGCATGGACAAAAAAATTGAAAAATCGACCAAATCAATCAAACAGAACTAACTCGAGCCGGTTCGGGTCGGTTTAACACGGGTAATTGGTTCGATTTTTTTTTTTTTTTTTTAAATAAAACCATGGTGGGTCGGTTCAGCCATGATTTGAAACCTCAAAATACTGGTTAACCGAATCAACTCAACTCACTTACATATTTACCCTTTTTTTAAAGAAAAATAAAAATTAATAGATAAGCCATAATCTCATAATTATATTTCAATTCCCTCCAATCTATGATGCTGCCAATAAGTAATAGCACTAAGAATTTCTTTTCACAAGTACATTATGTTATACCTAGCTTCTTCTTTTTTATTTCCATATTCAAGTATTCATGCTACATAATGCATAAAAAAGTAACAAAATTCTTAAGTTTTCTGTCGATCTGTCTACATTGACCTGATTTTATTCGTTGGTCAATAGTATAAAATTATTTAAATATTTTAGTTCTTGTAATCTAAGTGAACCCAAAATTTAGACAATTTTTT